GTACCTCCACTATGCCGATGTTCTATCAAAGATTGTGACTGGGTTGGAATGTGTGACCGGTGACGTTGTCATACATTTTAACGTAATCACACCCACTTTTTTGGTGGTGGAATATGTGACCGGCAAAAGGTGAAGAATTCCAACACTTTCGGTCCTGAAATGTGACTGCGATCTGACATTCCACAAAGTCGGAGAGAAGTGACATTTCAGGACCGATGAGCTGTTCCAGGGCAGATCGGTTCTCCTACATATACGATCAGCGATGCCGATCTGCCCTGGAACAGCTGATCGGTCCTGAAATGTCACTTCTCTCCGACTTTGTGGAATGTCAGATCGCAGTCACAAAGTCACATTTCAGGACCGAAAGTGTTGGAATTCTTCACCTTTTGCCTGTCACCACCACCGCACCGTCCACCACCGAAAAAGTGGGTGTGATTACGTTAAAATGTATGACCACATCACAGGTCACACATTCCAACACGGTCACAATCTTTGCTAGAACACCGGGCAGAGCAGTCTACTTTTGGGAGGGATGGGGGAGTGGTCACAGGCGGCGGGTTCCACCCAGTTCACGCTGCAAGTGCATCGGAGGCCTGGTAGGTGGGTATTGACAAGCGGGTAGTGTGGAAGGATATTCCTTCCGACCATCGGTGCAATTCAGCTCTGCCCACCAACCAGGTGGGACGCTGACCGTGACCAGCATCAAGGTGCCGATTCACCCGTGATCTTTATTTTACTCACACGTTGGATGTCAGCCAGGGGGACCTGATTTAGCTCCCGGGATCGACTACAATCTCATGTTTAGGTTACTAATGTGTATTGAGCTTGTAGTCTATCCCGGGAATGAGCTTGGAATGGTGACTACTTTACAACACACACAGCGACCATGGGGAACAAAAGTAGCCACCCTCCAGAAGGAAGGACAGTGTCAGCACCAATTCAGAGATGATTTGAGGATCTACAGCCGAGTGATACACAAATAAGATACATTGTGGGTCATAGTTGAGGGACTGGAATGTATTTTAGGATTTATCTCCGGAGTTTAGTGTCACTTCAATGATCTGAGCGGTAGAGAAATGTCGGCTCGCTCACCTCACAGAAGAATTCGTTGCCTCTTAATCCACAGAACCAGCTGATCCAGGACACCTCCTCCGAGCTACTCATGGTGAAGGCTGCAGACCGATAAACAGTAAAGTCTGTTAGGTCGGGTACAACTAGAGGAGACAGGAAGACATTTGTTACAGCAGAGGGATTGGAGGGAGCCGGACAACGCCGGGTGACTCCCGCACGCCACCAGACAACGCCGGGTGATCCCCGCACGCCACCAGACAATTGCCGTGTGATCCCCGCACGCCACCAGACAATTGCCGTGTGATCCCCGCACGTCCAGACAATTCCCGGGTTATCCCCGCACACTACCAGACAATTCCCGGGTGATCCCCGCACACTACCAGACAACTCCCGGGTGATCCCCGCACACTACCAGACAATTCCCGGGTTATCCCCGCACACTACCAGACAATTCCCGGGTGATCCCCGCACACTACCAGACAACTCCCGGGTGATCCCCGCACACTACCAGACAATTCCCGGGTGATCCCCGCACACTACCAGACAACGCAGGGTGATTAGATGTGAATGGGCCCTAGAGGGTGAAAAAATTTAATACTTGACAATAACATTTTAGCAAAGGCAGCCAACCAGAGTCAGTGTGGTAAGCATAGACCTGGGGTGTGAAGTGTGGTCAGTGGGGTGTGAGGGAGCATAGACCTGGGGTTTGAAGTGTGGTCAGTAGGGTATGGATGAGCATAGATCTGGGGTGTGAAGTGTGGTCAGTGGAGTGTGTGGGAGCATAGACCTGGGGTACAGAGTGTAGTGAGTAGGGTATGGATGAGCATAGATTTGGGGTGGGTATGGATGAGCATAGATCTGGGGTACAGAGTGTAGTGAGTAGGGTATGGATGAGCATAGATTTGGGGTGGGTATGGATGAGCATAGATCTGGGGTACAGAGTGTAGTGAGTAGGGTATGGATGAGCATAGATTTGGGGTGTGTATTGTCGCCTGCTGGGTATGGATGAGCATAGATCTGGGGTGGGTATGGATGAGCATAGATCTGGGGTACAGAGTTTAGTGAGTAGGGTATGGATGAGCATAGATTTGGGGTGTGTATTGTCGCCTGCTGGGTATGGATGAGCATAGATCTGGGGTACAGAGTGTAGTGAGTAGGGTATGGATGAGCATAGATCTGGGGTCTGAGGGAGCATAGACCTGGGGTACAGAGTGTAGCGAGTAGGGTATGGATGAGCATAGATCTGGGGTGTGAGGGAGCATAGACCTGGGGTACAGAGTGTAGCGAGTAGGGTATGGATGAGCATAGATCTGGGGTGTGAGGGAGCATAGACCTGGGGTACAGAGTGTAGCGAGTAGGGTATGGATGAGCATAGATTTGGGGTGAGAAGTGTGGTCAGTGGAGTGTGAGGGAGCATAGACCTGGGATGTCGTTAGTAGGATGTGGATGAGTATTGACGCGGGGTAGGCAGTGCGGTCAGTGGGGGAGGAGAGGATATACCTAGGGTGCAGAGTGCGGGAGGAGAGGATATACCTAGGGTGCAGAGTGCGGTCAGTGAGGAGTGGATGAACATAGACCTGGAGTGCGGAGCGCGCTCAGTGAGGTGTGGGGTTCATAGCCCTGGTGGTGCGGAGTGTGGTCAGAGGGATGTGTGCGGAGTGTGGGTGAGCATAGCCCGGAACGGCAGGTCGGTGGCCTGGGATCGGGCAGCTCGGTCAGCGCTCACACCTGTTCTCTCCTCCCGTCTACACGGCGAATCTTCCCGGCTTCCACCCGCCGCTACACACTAGGCCCGGTCCCCTGTCACTGCGCAAGCGCGACCCGGAAGAGGCGGAGCGGGAGAGAGCCGCACGGAATGCTGGGAGCAATAGTTCTCAGTGTGGACGGACGCGCAGGCGCACTGACAGGTAAAAAAAAAAAAAAAACAGGAAAGGGTTAACTGAAAATACCGGCCAGTTTATTTGTTGCTGTCTGTGCACTATTGGGGAACTTTCTCAGAGACACACAAGACGTTGGCGAAAATCTCCCAAACTGTGGATAAATCCCCTCTTAGACAGCTGTCCAATTAAATAGAGGGTTACATTGGGGACGTAGGCATCCATGAAAACTTTATCAGGGGTCTACTCCAGGGCAAGGCATCCTCAGCACTCCAGCTGTGGTGAAACTACAAATCCCAAAATGCCTCTGCCTCTGGGAGTCATGACTGTGGTTGTCAGAGCCTTGCAATGCATCATGGGACCTGTAGTTCCACAACAGCTGGAGGTTGTCTACACTAATCTTTCCTACTCTATCCAAATGCCATGCTTTAGGGCCGTGGAAGGCTCCGGTGGGGAGATTCCTTCACTTGCTACCTGGTGAAAAGGTTGTGGCGGGTAAAATGTGCTTTTTTTACCCTCTGCCAGTGGACGCACGACAATTGCGAACAGACATCTGGGGAAAACATGCAGATCGCTTGCAGCTAATAATGCTGCATGAACTACTTTTCCGTGATTGGTGACTAAAACGGACACGTTTGCGTTCATTTACGCATCACTAGCTGTGAACGGGGCCTCCCCCCCCAATGCTTGGTTCACATCTGCGCATTCCAGGGAATGCACGTTTGCCGCACAGCCCCATTTATTTGAATAGGTTCATATCCGCGCTGTAAAAAGGCTTCTGCGTATTATCTTCTGCCGCGTCTGCACACACGGAAACGCAAGGGTAGAGCAGCGCGATTTGCCAGCTGCAATTGGCTAAATGAATGGCACCGCACGCGCGTTTCACATTTGTGCACAATTCCATAAACGCGCGACTATTGCGTACAAAAACGTACGACTCACAGCACGTTCTCAGAGTGATCAGCTGTGAACCAAGCCTCAGGGAAACGTACGGCAAGACTTTCAGGTGTTACTGGGGACTGACAACAGTCTCCTCCTCCTAGTAACCTGCTCCCCATTGGCTAAGGCTGGGTTCACACCTAGGCGTATCGAATATGCGCGTTTGTCGTGGTAAATGTGGTAAAAAAACGCGCGACAAACGTTTCCGAGGGCTACTTGGCTATATCCCAATGGAAACGCATAACAAAAACGCCCCAAAGAAGCTCCTGTACTTCTTTGGGCGTAGGGCGTTTTGTAGCGCGTTCATACGGCCTGTAATATGCCCAGGTGTGAACCATACCCATTGGAAATAATGGGATTTCGGTGTTTGAGCGTTTTGCAGAGCGTTCGCACGCGCAACAAAACGCCCAGGTGTGAACCAGGCCTAAAACAATAAGCCCCCAATTCACACCTAGGCGTTTTGTCGCGCACAAGCACACACGACAAAACGCCTGTCGCTGGAAACAGTTCCTGAGCTTCTGTGGGGTGTTGTGCAGCGCGTTTGGCTCCATAGGTTTCGATGGCAAAGCCTGAAAAACGCGCGAGCGCTTTGCACATTTCTATGCGCGTTTTTTACGTGTGTGTTTCCACATTGACTGAAATGTATTTGAAAACGCGCATATTCTTGTGCGCACGTCAAACAATGAGCGCGCAAAACACACTGTAAAAACACTGACGCCAAGGTGTGAATGCAGGCGGACGCCGAAGCCTGAAAATATGCGAGGAGAAAGCGCTTCAAAATCGTGCGAAGACGCTCGCGCTCGGGAGTCAACAGGGGGCTTATACCTCTAAAGTAAAAAATATGCACATGCAAATCTTAAATTACAAAAAACATTTATGAACGTGGATTACAAAAAGTTACCGAGCGTAAAAACAAAAACATTCCGGGACTACGAGGGAAGACGGCTCTGGCACGTAGGGGGTTAACCCCACCCAACCAGCTGATCAGGAATCGGATGGGAACCTGGCCAGTCTTCCTGGCTTGGCTGTAGACAAGTCACGTGATAGTCACATGATTGTGATGTCACATCCTCCCAGGCCACGCCCCCCCCTTGCAGCGTACACCGTCCAGCTTGTAGCTGGCTTCCTATGAGAAGGTGAGTTTCTGCGAACGGTGAGCGTTAACTAGAACAGGAAGTGGCGTAATTCTGGACGCAGGGTGTGCGGTTTTTCGCTAGCTGTGACATGTGAGGCTTCGCTAACCCACCCAAGGCTTCCTGCGACACACGGGGCTATTTTCACATGCAGCGTGTTTATCAAATGTTTAACCCTTTGCTGCCGGTGGAAGCTAGCCCTTTAATGCAGGGGTGGGCGACTCTGGCCCTCCAGCTGTTGTGGAACTACAAGTCCCATGAATGAGGCATTGCAAGACTGACATTACAGGCATGGCTCCCGGAGGCAGAGGCATGCTGGGGTTTGTAGTTAAAGCACAGCTGGAGGGTCGGAGTTGACCACCACTGCTTTAGTGTCTGTTCACAGTGGGGCGGTTTGGTTGACATGAATGATCCCATACATTGCTATGGGGACCGTTCATACACGTTCCAAACCGCCCCCCACGCCTGAACTGCTCCCCGGCCCTTTTTTGCCGCGTTGATCAGCGTGGTTCTGGGTGTTTTTAATTGCGTTTCAGCGCTGAAACGCAATTAAAACTCCCAAAACCTCCCTTTTGAATTCGGCGCGGAAACCGCGCTGATCTGCAGCCACCTTGGTGCTAATGGGCTCTTAAAGGGATATTATTTCATGGGCTTCCTGATCATGTGATCGCCGCGTTAGGCTGTCAGAGTGATCACGCTTGCGTTAAAGCCCACCGCCATGCCGCCACATATATGCGTACAGCCAGCCAACGGTTTGCTCTATAAGCAGAGGATTTCCAGGAATACCGTGCCACCGAAGAGGTGAACCTAGAGCAGGGGTAAGCAACCTTCGGTCCTCCAGCTGTGCTTTAACTACAAATCTCATCATGCTTCTGCCTCTGGGAGTCATGCCTGTAACTGTCAGTCTTGGAATGCCTCATGGGACTTGTAGTTCCACAACAGCTGGAGGGCCGGAGTTGGCCGCCGTGCCAAAAAGTGCTGCAGCTGGAGACAAGCCAGACAACTAGCATTTTCAGTAGGAGGGCAGCAATAGCAGCTGACATCCTTTCCTCATGACAGGACCTCTTTATAATGATCATGTTTTCAGGGCAGGCGGTTTGTAATCTATAGAGCTGCAATGAGGAGTAGTGAAGCCAGCGGCAAAGCTTGACACGCCTGGTCATCGGGGTACGATATGGGAGAAGGGGGTCCCCCCAGCTGCAGCCCCCCCCCCCAACTCCAGACAAGGTTTGTGCTCTGTGTTGGACACATGGGGGATGGGTTAGAGCCTCTGGTATTGCCATCCATACCCCCACAAGAGAGACTTCCCATTACTTGTATGAGGGTCACAGGGACAGGAAGTGAGGCAGCATCTCCCTAGCTGGGTAACAGAATGTTAACCCTTTCCTCCATGCAACACTAAAGCAAAAGTTTTGGCTGGAGATAAAGCTGAGATCTGCAATTACAAAAGCTACCCTACCCTTGTGGTGCCCCCCCCCCATGCACTGCAAGGGTTTAATGCCTGTTAGGTCTGGGGGTAGAGTAATAATCTGCAATTCTTCCCATACCCCTGGCTCTGGTATCCTTCCCCCACATGTGCGTCTGTCCCCCTGAAGCCTCTTCTGAATAGTGCTCTGGTCGGCGGTTGCACGATGACACCATCAAGTACAATGCAGGGCCAAGAGGCGAGGGCCCGCCTACATCGCAGAGCGTCGGGGAGAGCGCTGGAGTGAGGAATAGGTTGGTATACAGCTTAGTCCTCTATGCCCAGTCTTAAAGTCTAACTCCGGGCACAAGGCAAAAAAAAGATCTTACCCCCCTATACTGCAAGGGTTAAATGCTCATCTAGGGGGGTACAAGAGGAGACCATATTACTTCCCATTGTACTTAAAGTGACTCTGTCCCCATAATAGAAGTTACTCAGACCGGCTGTACCTGTAAGGCCCCATGCACGCGGGCACATTTAGGGGCCTATTACATAAATTTGGGCTTTTTGTCTGTGCCCCGGGATACACAGCTGGTACATACCTGGGTATATGGTACTCGCGAACCACACCCCGGACGCAGGCTCTCTGTGGGTCGGGCGCAGGCTCTCTGTGGGTCGTGCGCAGGCTCTCTGTGGGTCGTGCGCAGGCTCTCTGTGGGTCGTGCGCAGGCTCTCTGTGGGTCGTGCGCAGGCTCTCTGTGGGTCGTGCGCAGGCCTCTGTGGGTCGGACGCAGGCTCTCTGTGAGTTTACCCGCATATATCAACACACAGCTATCCATGTCTATGCATCAGCTGTGTATCCCAGACATGTAAAAAGGAGCCCGAATGTATGCCCATTGGATGACTTCCCCTTATTCTTTGCTTGGGTGACCCCGGACACAATGAATAAATAAAAGCCGTTTAGCAGTGTGTGCGCCGGTTAGAACCTCCGTCAATGTGACACCTCTCCCCATAGGGGAAATTTCTCCTCACTCTCTGTTCAAGCGACCATGAGAGCAAATCTCCCCCCGTGGGGGACACACACAATAGAAACCATGCCAGTGATCCAACACTTCCACACACTGTCCACATTTCACCCGGGGTTCTGATTTAAAGGAGAACTATGGGGTCAGGGCTTTTCCCCATAGATCTCCTAAGGGTAACGGGAGGACACAAACTGGCGTCCTCCGGTCACCCCGGTATACTGAGACGCCGCAGCTGAAACGGATCCCGACAATTCTGTCTGGATCCACCCAGCTGCGTGAGTGACAGCTGACTCTGCCTATCCAGAGGCAAAGCCAGCTGTACGCTCCCCCGTCTGTGTTCCGCCAGTCAGAGCTGGGGGGGGGAGGGAATCCCTGCAGGGAGCCGTGAGTGACAGTCACGGCTCTCTGCACGGATAGATCGAGAAGTGAGCGAGCGCCGGTATGTGTTCGCTCACTTCCCGATCTACTGAGCCGACCTGTGACAGTTTCATTGTCGCAAGTCGGCTCAGATTATGAGGCTGAGTGAAAATCACTTGTCCCATAATTCTCCTTTAAATAGTGTCCAATGTAGATGGACAGTGTATGAGAATTGGTTCTATTTTCTTTAAAGCTGACCTCCAAAGGAGGAAGTACCCTGGCATTGGGGCTCCATTGCACCGTTTGTGTCTAGGGTACTATTCAAAGGCAGTTTTACTTATCCTATCCCTCTCCCCCCCTACCAGCCAGTGCTCTCCACTTCCATGTTGTGGGCGGGCCCTTGGACTCCTCACATACAACACAGGAAGTGAAGGGAAATCTCATTAATGGGACACAGGTGGCAAAAAAAAAAAAGCTAATGGAGGTCATCACTCTCCCTTACTGTTTCCAATACTAAAAAACTTTTGGCTTCGGTTATACTTTAATATTACTGTAGAGCTGCAACCAACTAATCGGTTAATCGATGATGAGAATAGTTGTCATTAGTTGGTTGGATCCCCCAGCTCTCACCTCCATGCTGGGAGCAGGGCGCAGTGGGCGGGTGCTGTTGGCTATTGCAATTTGAGATGGCCTATAGCAGGCTGGCTATTGCCCCCCCCCCCCGCCTATTTACATTCAGCTGCCGTCTGAAGAATCTTGCCACTGGCAGCTGCCCTTCCCGGTCTGAAGGTATTGCAGCGCCATGTGCTTACAATACAATTATTTAAAAAAATAAATATGATAAAAGGTATCAAAAAAAGTCTTTTTTGGTTTCCGCCTGACAAATTCTCCTGCGGGAGGTGTGTTGCAGTGCCATTCATTTTCAATGGCACCGCAAACGCACCTCCCACCCACAGTGTGATGCCATGCTTTCCAGTGCAGTGCGATTGCAATAAATTGTGCATGCAGTTTTATTCTAAAGTAAACTTTGTTTGTAACAATGCATTTGTGTATTTTATTTTACATTAAGGATGGCATTTATTTAATTTTTTTATCCGATTAATCGAAAAAATAATCGGCCAACTAATCAGTTATGAAAATTAGTTACAGCCCTATATTACTGTAACTTTTTTGTGACTCTCTTCCTTAATATTTCCTCCTATCTTAGAGGATGTATTTTCCAAGGCTCATCACATTCACCAAGGCCCGCGAAAAATCCGATTTGTGGGAAAATGGAGAGCGCACCAAGAAGAGACCCTTCAACTCAACTGGGGTTGGCCATACAGGGGAAGAGGCGAGAAGCTTCTACGAGAGCCTCCTCGCTAATGACGAAGAGCCACCAGCTCCAAGAAAACCATCTCGGAAGCGCAGAGCTCACAGATCTCCACCACAAGAAGAGCCACGTATCGGGTCTTCCCAGGGTGGACCGAATACGTCTGTCCAGGAACCGATGAACCAAAAAGCGGGCCACCAGCTGCTCAGATGTTCACAGTACGGAGACATGAAAGGTTTGAGACAGCTGGTGGAAAAAGAACATTGTGACATCAATTTCCATGACGGTTATTACTGGACGCCGCTGATGAGTGCGGCATTCGCGGGTAACAAAGACGCTGTGAGTTACTTGTTGAAAAGAGGAGCGGCCTGGGTGGGCGTCTGTGAAACTCGAGGCAAGGACGCGCTGAGGTTAGCAGAAGAAGGAGGACACCGGGAGGTCGTCAAGCTTCTGCAGGATTCTCTGAAGGGTCAGCCGCAGGAGTCCCAACCAAGGTGAGGGGGCTTATACAGAGCCGGATTTACTCTCTCTGCTGCCCCAAGGCCCGATTCCTCAATGTGCCCCCCTCCCCTCCTCCTCCTGTACCCAATGGTACAGGGCCGGATTTACTCTCTCTGCTGCCCCAAGGCCAGATTCCTCAATGTGCCCCCCTCCTCCCCCCAATGGTATAGGGTCGGATTTACTCTTTCTGCTGCCCCAAGGCCTGATTCCTCAATGTGCCCTGTACCTCTTGGATACCTCAAATTTTTGCTTATTTTAAATTACAGAGAATACATCATGGCGATTGGGCAATAATGTTTGCAGTAGTGATGCAGGGGTTGGTAGGAGAAACCATGGCACGCGGGGGGGGGGGTCACGTTAGCTGACACACCCAGAAGTGTTGGATAGTAGCATTGCATGCAGCTCTTTATAAGAGCAAATAGTTCCCTTACCACGGACTGGAGAGAAGTGGAAACCACATTCTTTTACAGGGACTGTAAAAGACTTGTCCAGACCAAAACAGTTTGTTCCAAAAAGCATCCCAATGTATCCCTATGGTATTTCTGGGCTCTGTTCACACCAGGGCAGTCCATTCCAGACCGGGCAAAAAAAAATGCTCCTTGTCTTATTTTCTCTGGTCTGGAATGCACAGGAACGCATGAAAACGCATGCAAATGCACTGGACTGCACCTGAAAGGCCATTTTAAGCTTACATTTTTTTTTTTACCCTGGAACATGGTAAAATCGCAATGCACTGCGTTCCAGATCTGGTCCACAAAATGGTGCAAACCTGTACTTTGCGGACAATCTGGGTGGGGAGTCTTGGTGTGCTGGCGGTTCTTAGCTTTATGGATTAAAAGTTGCTGTTGCTGGTGGACTCTGGTGTGCAGCTTCTTCTCTTGAGTTGCTGTGTTGGAGTGTGGACGGCTCCCAGCCTGCACCCCTTTGTGTGCCCGGGTGTTGAACGGAGCAGTGATGTCACCTTTGCACTAGTACACTGTACTTTAGAAATATACTGACTAGTTAAAATGAAGGTTGCATAGTGCACACGATAAGGTTCATATTATACCTTCAGCATTTCCCCAGCCCCTTGCACACAACCCTGGCCTCCAGTATATGGGGAAGGTAGGCTTCCCCATCTTATCGGGCAATGCCTTGAGGCACTCGTTGTCTAAAATAGGCAGAGTGGGGGAGGAAGGGTCATGGTGGCAGGGGTTGTGCCTGTGAAAGCACAGACTTTTAGAATGCCTCTACTTGCAATGTACCTTCCTAGGGTCCTGGTTGCAGGGGTGGACAAATTCATATGGAATTCAGGAGCCAGCAGGATTTTTTAGGAGCCAGCTCCATTCACAACAACTAGAGAAAACCTCAAAAAATAGGAACCAGCTGTATGCACCAGGTTTGGGGACCCAGGCTCCTGACCAATGGGGCTTACTGTAGCACTGCAGGTGGTGCATACTACATAGTAGGGATATACCGATACTGATACTAGTATCTGTGCCGATACCGAGTATTGGGTCGAGTACTCACTCAAATGCTCCGATACCGGAAACTTCCGTTCAGAGGAAGATTTTCTCTGACCGGCAGTGCCGTAAGGGAACAGTCATTCCAGGAATCCTCAGCAACCATTCAGAAACTGGCTTTTACATAGTTCACTGTAGTCAACCTCAAGCCAAGTTCCATCTAGTCTTTGCTACGGTTAGATGTGTTGTAGATGCTAGTGACTGACCCTGCACTCATTGTTGGTCTTGTATATCTTTCTGCATGCTGGAAAATCTCTGAACATTAGTTCAGCAGCTTCATTTGTCATAACCAAGTCAAGTATAGGGTCTCGCCAAGGTAAAGTGAGTTTTTTTTTTGGCTTCTCAGTGATCATTATGGAGATGGGGAGATCTAATACATCATCCAGTCCATGGGCAGCCCATGACAGCTAGAAATTGGTTATGTTGTATAAATATGCCCCCACAGTACACAGTAGTTCACACACATAGCCTATATTTAATCACAGCTGTGATGTTTGTAGCCCACATCTTATGGCTGTTTAGAATAGGTGCATTCAAAAGTCATTTTCAGGATTCTGCACTTTGCTCATTGGCTCATTAGATTATGCCATTGGAGCTTACATGTAGAATAGGAGCAAGGATGATATAGAGCCAGCTTCCCATGCAATCGGGAAGCCGGGTGCTGAGTAATGACTCCTGATTGGCTGAACAGCCAGCTCGATGCTGATTGGCTGGGAAGCTAGCTTCCCGGCCAATCAGGGAGGTGAGTCATTGCTTGATTGGCCAGGAAGCTGGCTCGATGCTAATTGATTGGGAAGCCGGTTTCCCCGCCATGCAACATGGAGCCAGCTTCTCGGGCAATCAGGAAGTCGGCATGTCATTAGCCAGCTTCATGTCAGCAGAAACACCAGTATCGGTATTCAGTCTCGGCAAGTACCAAAAGCAAGATATCGGTACTCATGCTCAATACGGAAAAAAACTGTATCTGTGCATCCCTACTATATAGCCTTACTTCAAACAGATTTTAAATAAGTATCATTTCATTCTACTTTGTTAAAACTCTTTTTTTTAGAAGTAACTGTGGTGCTGACGCGCTCCTTTTTTATTTTGCAGAGCACAGCCGCCGGAAAGGAAATTCTGCGACGTTTGCAAGACGCATTACCAGGAAGACAGCATAGAGATACACGAACGATCTACCGTTCATCTGTTCAACAAGAAGAAGAAACTCCCAGCCACGTATTACGCTATCCCAGAGCACAACGTGGGCTTTAAGATGATGGTTAAGGAAGGCTGGGATCGTGAGTCAGGCCTGGGACCTGAAGGGTCAGGCAGGAAATTTCCTATTCAGACCGTTCTCAAGAGGGACCAAAAAGGTCTTGGCTTTCAGAGAAACGAGAAGCCCAAAGTCACCCATTTTGCTTCTAATGACACGCAGGCAGTTGCTAGGCCACAGACTACACATATGAGGACAGAAAGGGTGGCTACTGTCAGCAAAAAGGAAGAAAAAAGAAAGGAAGACAAAACTAAAGCCTGGGAAAGGAATTTGAGGACCTATATGAACATTGATTTTTAAAATCCTGCTGTGATGTGCGTATAAATGCTTTGAATTCTGACTTACTAAAGAAGATACTGAAAGCCCATTAGAAGTTTTAGTTTAGATCGGCTAAATACATTCCAGGTCCATCAAAAGAAAAAGCCTCACAGTTCATTTCCTTTAGCAAGCAGCCACAGCCCGAGTAGAAAAGCCTGTCCCCTGCCAGCATGTTGCAGAGAAGGACCCTTGCTTTCTGTGCGGATGCAGTGGTCTCTCTACAGAGGTCCAACACGTCCCCAGGCTTAGTCAGACCTATAGCTCTGCAATTAGAAAAGTTCTCACTCCCTGCTCATTGGAGAGCTCCATCTCCGACTCATACCAGGTCAGAGAGACCTCTGCTTCCACACAGAGGGAAAGGGTTCTTCTCTGCAGCATGCTGGCAGGGGACAGGCTTTTCTACTCAGGTTGTGGCTGCTTTCTAAAGAATGTTGGTGATGCATCTGGAATCTATTTAACGAATATAAACTCGAAGGTCAATTTGCCTTTAACAAACCATCACGAAAACAAAGTCAGGGGAATTTATCATAGCAATTGCGTGTTTGAAGTCGCATGGGATATATTTGCGCCAGATTTATGTTGGTAATGTAATGTTGATCATCAATGTGATTAAAGGAGAACTATGAGGTGACTGATTTACACTCATAGTTAGAGCCGCTGTGCGTCATTGAAGCTGTCACACGTCGGCTCTAAAGATCAGGAAGTGAGCGAACTATATACCGTCACTCGCTCACTTCTCAATCATCTCCCTGCAGAGGGATTCCCCCCTCCCCTCTCCAATCCTCAAGTGCAGACTGGAGGAACGAACATAGGAGGGGGCGAGCACAGCTGGCTCTGCCTCTAGATAAGCAAAACCCGCTGTCAATCAGACAGCTGGGGGAATCTCTACAGTATTGTTGGGATCAGCTGCTGTAGCTCGCTATATGCTGATCTTTGGATCACGGGAGGAGGTTAGTATATATCCTCCCGTGACACTAAAGAGAACTATGGGATAAAAAGGTTACCCCATACTTCTCCTTTAAATAGACTCCCGGAAAGAAGACTCGCAACTCCAGGCAAAAAGCTTAACTGTCGCTTAAGCAGTCATGTAGACTTCTTAAGTAGCGATTGCTTTGTTAGGTGATGCTCCAGTTTAAGACAGCCGCAGGACAAGCGCAGATGGAAACAGTTGCGAACTTTCGCAAAACATGCGCAATCGGGAAAATAGCGCAAGTTCTGGTCAAAACAGACGCACATGTAAAAGGAGCGGCAAAACAGATGTACACAAAAAAAAAAAAGATCTAAGAGGCTAAAACAGTCGCAGTTGCTTTGATAAATTCCCCCCTGAGAATATTCCTAATAGTGGTATTCCAGGCAAATGGCTACATACACTTGTTTAGTGTTTTACCTGACAAAAGATTTGTGATGTTGGCTATCCATTCTTGTGATACGCACATCAGCTAGTCATGGTGATCACTCTGCTAATATCCGATTTACCATTACAGCTTCCTGGGTCAGTCCTTAGTTCACCCAACAGAGGAGCTGATTCAGATTCACTGTCCATTTAAGGGGGCTGGAAGCAAAGAGATGACCTAGGAAGCTCATTGACTGAAGCAGCTAGATGAATTGATTGGCTGGGACCTAGGGGTGTCATCTGTCTGGCTGGGCAGTGCAGAAAATGTATGTAATGTAAAGCAGTATCACCCGCGCATCATAATGCTCTTTATAAGCAATTGTATTTATCACACATGAGCAGCTTCTCAGCTACCAAGAGCATTAGGATGTGTTCACAATACTGTCTTGTAACTAGTGAATATGATCCAATAACCCCGTCTGTTGTTTTACAACCTCATCACCCATCTTGTTTGGTCTACTGCCGTCTGGAGTGCGCCTGAATATTTCTAATATTAATTCACAAGACTGGCTGTAGCCAGTAAGGTCTCACGTTGGCGTTCTTATGAATCTCAGTCTTTTCCATTCAAATGCCACGCTGCTGGAAGACGTGTTCACAGAACTCAGCGTTTTACAAGAAAACCTCAATACAAACCAAGTGCTCTACGGCCTTCTTCCAATGCTGTTCCATGGAACACTGGTGCACAACCAAGGCATCCACCAGCCCCTTATCATAAACAGTAGAAAAGTGTTTTTGCACAGTTCTGGATCCAGTTAAAGTCTTCTTTATTTATTCCAGGCATAAGACCAGACATAGCAGTCCAGAGGCTGCGACTGACTTGCTTTGCCTACAATTCAAACGTACCTCAATAGGATCTGCTGCATCCAAAGATAACAATGCCCAGCAGGTCAGACTCAGCCCTTGAGCTCGCATCTACACTACTCCTTTCATCTCAATGGGAATCTGCTGACCTGATTTTTAAGTGCAGGAATACAATAACTCAATACATTGTGTGAATATACCCTTCAATTATCCAGTCATGTGAAAAGCAAATTCCTGTTCACTTTGAATAACAAATCACATGCAGATGCTTTTCACATGACTAGATAACTGAAGAGAGATTCACATAAGTGAAGATTCTTAACGCCTTAAAGTGAAACTAAACTCGGGACTTGAATCTTGAAAATGCATTTAAGTTCCTTAACTATTAACAAAATTGTATCTTATCTGTGTATCACTCGGCTGTAGGTCCTCAAATCATCTCTGAATTGGTGCTGACACTGTCCTTCCTTCTGGAGGGTGGTTACTTTTGTTCCCCATGGTCCCTGTGTGTGTTGTAAAGTAGTCACCGCTACAAGCTCACTCCCGGGATGGACTACAATCTGAATACAAATTAGGAAACTAAAATGAGAGATTGATGTCTATCCCGGGAGTGAGCTTGGAGCGGTGACTACTTTACAATACACACAGGGACCATGGGGAGCAAAAGTAGCCCCCCTCCAGAAGGAAGGACAGTGTCAGCACCAATTCAGAGATGATTTGACGATCTACAGCCGAGTGATAAACAAATACGATACAATTTTGTTAATAGTTACTTGGATGCATTTTTAAGATTCAAGTCCTGAGTATAGTGTCACATAAAGTAAATCAGTCCATAGAGGTCTCCTTTGGTCAAATATAACGTATATAATTGCACAGAAAACTAAAATAATATTTTCTTGTCTAGTGCTGAAAAATATTTTTTATCATATCTGATAATTCAGCAGAAGGTTGAGAGATTGCGACGAAGGAGTTGAAGGTCTAATATTAAAATGTTTGATTAACATTAAAGTGCTTGTCTGCTTTTTTACTGGATTGCAATTTGAACTCTTATGAGCATCTACTTATATCTGTACCATATTTTGCCACCTGTCTTCTTTTTTTTCTCACTCTACAGACAATCCTTTTTTTGTGTATTGTTGGAAGTCGCTCGTCATATGTTCTGCGAAGAAACGTGCTATATATTTTAGATGAACAGATATAGTGGTGACCCAAGCGGCAACGCTTCGATGGCTAACATTACTGACTTAACCACATTTTCCATGATGTTTTTCAAGCGCGGTGGACTACGGTAGAGGGGGGTGGTGCTGAGGTGTTAGCTCTAAGAAGAAGAAATTAACCGTTGATTAAATCATTTTGCCTTCGCCTCTCTGCCCAAGATGATGACGTTTTATCTTCTCTGCAAAGCCTCTTTATTTCTCTTTCTTCTTCATGTAATTCCACGAACCGGTAAGATAATAATTGGGGAAAAATTCATTTTCAGAACGTTTTACTTTAAAATTGGAGGTTATACAGCCACAGGTTTTCTGAAATATTTTATTATAATATTTTAAAATAATTGTTTTGTTTATATATATATATATATATATATAATGTGTATATATTAAGATATAAATATATTTGAAATATATCCAATTTAATATATTTCATTTCCAACCTAGTTTTATTTTATTCTAAACACTTTTCATTTCTCTATATTGTTCACTGGGAATATATACACAAACAAAACAAGTGATTCTGATTTACTAGCGAAAGCTGAAAAAGTTCACTCAGCTTAGTGATCAAAATTCATCTCTCTTCACTTTGATCCTCTTACCGTGTACAGTACAAGGCAAGACCTTGTTTTGTTTAAATTGTTTTGTATATGATTGGGTACTCAAAGTAAAAACTCACTATAGTAAATAAATTAAATTTTTTTAAAAAGTGAACATGCTCTCATTTGTTTTAGAATCTATTAAAAGCATTTTTTTCCAGATGAAGGTTCCTTGCTGCATATGTGTGATGAAATTATCTAAAAACAACATTGTTTTAAAAAGTAAAAACTATTTGATTAATTGGCATCAACATTTGTGCACACCAATTTAGATTTCTAATAACTTTTTTAGTATTTAGAAGATAAACACAATCATTTAAAAACTTTGAGACCTTATAATTGTTGCTGATTTAGAGAGTCAGTTAAGATAAACATAGATTTACAGTTTTTTTTCAATAAAAATGTGTAAAATGTATATTAAAAATGTGCACATTTCTAAGTTTGGGGGTAAAAATACAGATATAGCAAACACACATTTTGTGTTTTTGCTTTTACTTATGATCTGTTCTGCTTATATTTGCTATCATCAGGAAAAAAAATTACATTTATTAAATATCTCGGTTTTGAATTTTGAACATGTTTTAAATGTGCTGTTCAAGAGTTATTAAATGGAAACTAGCTAACTAGCCCAATACCTTTTCACTAAAGAAATGAAAGACAAACCAAAAGAATTAGCAGAGTCCGTCACATTTGGTGTAGGTTTGTCCCTTAGTAGCTTTCTATTCAAAACACATTTCCTAAAGTAAATGGCTGCCAATATTTTGAATTGAAAACCTAATAATATACTTGGTTTAACACACATTTTAATCCTATTATGACTATCAGCAAGTATTGTATTTTATTCTGCTACAGAAAAGGTTAAATTCAGATTTTGTTTAAAAAAAAAAAGCTAGTACATGAAATACAGGTGTGCAAGGTTGTTTTTTTTTTTTTACACAAAGTCAATACAATATCTGTTATGCATGTGTAGTCGATACTGAAATTAATAGACCCAAATTATAATTTATATTT